TTTGTTTCGGCTCTCAATACTTTGTGAATCATTTACTTCAGATTCACTTGGTGGCTCCATGTTGTACTCTTCAATGGCATGGACAAAAGCTCTTGTCAATTGGGATAGGAAGAAGACCATCTGAGAAGAACAGCAATCTGGGTATAGCTGGAAACTCATATTATCTGATTGTCTTACTAAGAAAAAAATGCAGAAAAAAATGGCACCTTACATGTATTTTTCTAAATCAGCACCCCAAAATTGACAAAGCTAGCCAATAAAATCCATTTTGGCAAAACGCATTAAACAGCATACTGTGCTACATTGTAGTTGCAAAGAATGCACGATCAACACCAACCCTTTTAGTGTAGGCTTGTGAATGCAAAAGCAGGCTGCTTTGTTAATGTTGTCCATACATTGTGTGTCTGGGCCAGGCCGGGCTGGGCCAGCATGTGCGGGCTACATGCTGCAATCTTGACAAGGCTTAGCTAGGTATGCATATTCTTGGACAATATGTCATTCGGTGTATCAAACACAGCGATAATTCTTTATACTGCATAAATGCACATGATCTAAATGCATAACCAAAGAAACTTCTTTAACCAGCTGAAAAAGAACTACACGTACTATCCCACACTTGTAACATGAGCGAAGCAAGAATTCTTGCTGCTTGATAAAAAAATTTACGATATTAGTGTACCACTCCTTAAACATTAAACATGATGTTATAAACTTTAGACTATGCAAAATGAAAACAAGGTACCATTAGACAACATTTGCAAATTATGAGATGTTAACATTTTTAATTCTCCCTACATGCTGCCTCTGACTCCGGTTCAGCTTTCAAGCAAGCCGCCCAAATGTAGCTTGCAATCATTAATTCTTTCTGGTGGCCATGTGACTGAAATGAAGGAAGCTTTGTGCATGCCCCGGCTAAAGCCTGGCTGACGCCGCCTGCCCAATGCAGCACTCGTGTGCTCCTCACACAAAAATTTGCCCTTCCGTTACAAAGTTTGTGTTTGCATATCATCCGCTGGCATTGTATATGCTCTGTATTATCACAACTTGCCATGTTTCGCATCATTCTGCTGTTGCAGGCATCCATGAACATGGGGGATGGAAAATTAACATCACAAAGGACGCACAAAATGGAACTTCTAATGAGCTCTTGTTCTTCCCTTGGCACTCACCTAAGCTGGGAGTTCTACCCTGGGAGAAAGGGCCTATTGTTGGATTTATTCAATCCCCATGCAGAACAGGAGGAATGCTCCTTTAAACTTGTGTCACGTGATTTGCCTTTAAACAGAAAACATTTTCTGAAATATTCGAAATTTGGACTCTTGGGTACGTATTAAATTAAATAACACAACATAAAATACATGATTTCTCTTTCGTTCTCATAGCAATCTTAAGCCAAAGTTAACGACTACTCACAAGTTTTCAGTAGCAAACGTGAACAAAACATATGGAAAAACTGCAGCTTTGATCTCATGTCACGTGACCCCTGATGAAGTCATTTTGACAATTTTTTTTCCTGGGAGCCTCTATCCATGGTGGACTTCTAGCACACATAAATGAAATAAGTGAGATTGTCCAAGGTGCCGAAGACTAGCTGTTGAAAAACATGTACAAAATCTATGGGGAAAATTAAATATCCACAAATCAACTTAAAAATAGGTGATGACATGATCATGACATCATCATAAATTTAGCAAAATTCTTTTTATCAGGGTCTTTGTTGGCTGTCACTTTGATGATGATCAAACATCAGGAAGTTACCAAAATGGAGGCCTGAAAATGTATAAAGTCAATGGGCTGAAATAATGTTGAAAAATCAATAACAAATCAGATAATCACGTCATCATGACGTCATCCAATTACACAAATTTTTGTATCAGATCTTTGTTGACTTTCACTTTGATAACGACCAAACATCGCAAAGTTACTATTGTGGTGGCTTGAAAACGTACAAAGTCAATGGCCTAAAATACATATGCAGAGAAACTGCTCCTTTACGTTCATGTCACTTGACTCGCATTTAAAATGAAAGATATGTATGAAATATTACTTGATATTTGAACTCTAGGGTACATTTGTAATCGAACGAAAGGGAAAATTTCTCTTTCGTTCTTGCATATTTACACTTAGAATGCTGGGTGAGGACGACAAGTTTTCTTTTCCAAAAGTCTGAAATCTGCAAATTAGCAGATTATTATCTTGCTTGTTTACACAAGAACAGATAGCATTATATTTATTGCAATATATCGGTTACAAAATACTAGATCAGATAGAATGTGCCAACATTTTAGAAACTGCACTTCCTCCTATTCATTCAGGTGTGAATGAGTGATTCCAGATCACGGCCACAATCCTGACAGATTTTTATGTTGGGCTAGTATTTGTACACAGACTTATTTATTTTGTCCTTTTGTGTCTTCTCGTCAGAGCAAGTCATATGTTATCTTTGATATTCGTGGGTGGTTGAACAAAAATGTAAATAATTTTCTATTGTTATACCATATTTTTAAAGTTTTTAAAAAATATAGGGTTATGTTACAATTTGGGTGTTGACAATCAGTCAGTGAAATAGTCCAATGGAGGATTGATACCCCAAAATAAACTACATGTAATCAGCTTTTTCAAAGCAACTAAATTGTTTAAAGAACAGGCTACATCTGTCTTAAAGTTACAAACCTTTATTACAAGATCAGCTGAATAATTTTGTCCACTTCCATCAGTTCACCAGATCTGGGCTGATGATTTCCACCAAGTCAAAGGCAACGGCCATGTGACCCCTTAAATGAAGAAGTATTACAGAGAGTCACTAACATCATTCTTTCAGTTTGAAAAGATTTATGCATGTATGTATGTATGTGACTCTCTGTGACACATCTTCACACTGCACTGACAGGGTCGCTAACAGATAGTTTTTCCCGATACAAAGTTTTTAATCTTCAGGGTTTCTATTTACACAGCCCACATGAAGAAAACAACGTGTATATTGTACAGTTTTATTCTTGTAGAAATCTTCTCACAAATCAATCTAAATTTACAAGAAGACTTCTACATGCAAAATGGCTAATGCTACATGTATGTCACAGTTACACCTTTTAGTCCCTGCTGAAGACAAAAAATTAAGCCTCCAAAAGAATTTCCAGTTATAGGCAACATAACCACTTCCTGCCAAGGGCATTTATAAATGTTGATTCTGCTGGGCCAGAGTATTTTTCATTTTTTTTCTGTTTTTAAAATTCTTTACAAATTCATGTCTTCATTTACTGGACACTTCCACCCACACAAAGGACTGTCTGGTCCTACTCTAATCTGAGAGACAACATCTATTGACATCTATTGACATTCCAGCCAGGCCTGCTGCCTTCTAAAAAGAGCCCAAATTGTGCATGCTACATAATTTTCTTTAGTTCCCGAAAGTGGCACAATGCGTTGCTGACGTCTTTTCAATAGGGGCCAGATTAGCATGCAGCGGTACTTTGTGGCTCATCGCTGCAGTGGTAGAGCAGTTTTGTCCCTGGTGGTAATCCGCTAGTCTGGATACCAGACCCGATGATTCTGACTACCCAATGAATCAAGGGTCCGGTATCACCAAATGGACTGGAGGAATTCCTCCAGTTTTCCAGAAATAGCAGAAATATTCCGAAGTCGTCCCATCTACATTCTGCATGTTCGGATGGTACCGTTGATGTTGACAGTTACTCCCGGTCGGGTAGGCGGGCTTGTTGAACGTAAACCGTCAGCAATCATGCATAGGCATATTACAACAAAGTTACAAACAACTTACTTGTTGATAGGTGTGTGCGTGGAAAGAATTGATTAACTAAAAGAATTTTGAAAATTATTATGCATGATTTTGAATTTTCTGAGATTGTTTCAAGTGCGTCTCATTAGGGAACACTCAGCTGAATTGGAACACACAACGTAAGAGGATGAAATCAAAAACATCCGGGCTTTCAACTTGTGACCTCTGACTCTTGCATCACATCAATTTATATCCATGGGTGATGCCTGACCTAAGATTCTTTACCAAGGGTCGTCAGGGAATCTTTGAGCAGGGAACCAGACTAATAATCCGCTCGCACTGAATGCCCCAAACAGTGGTATACTGTTTCAAAAAATGCTGGATTATTTCTGCTATTGACAGAGAAAAAATGTTGGTAATTCCCAGCAGCCTGGTCTTTTGATACGAGTACGTTTTTGCTTTTTTTTACAAGGCCCAGTTCCCTTTGTCTGATTTTGGACACCCCAGCTGTGCATATAAAGAATATGTGCCTGAAACCGGGCTCCCCAGCAGCAAGTGGTTATTCAGAATTCAAATAAAATGTACAAGTGTACAATGTGCATATCTTTCAATTTCCAGAATTAAGAATATAAACAAGTGCCCTGTTGTAGGCAAGGAAATCTGACTAATTGGAACAAGAGGTGTTGCTACACCTTTCAACACAATTCATTATATTTCATTTGATCTTCACATTTCAAACACACATAATCGTAGCCCAGATCTTGCGAACTGAAATTGTGAGAAAATAAGAGTTCTTATGTTTTAACTGTAGCAAATTTCAACAAAAAATCCTGTAGATTTTTAGAATTTGAAGGGCAAAAACACATATTTTAGATTATAAATAAACATGAAAACCCCTGCAGCTACTTTTTCCAACAAAATAAATTTCAGATGCAAACTCAGATTTCGCATGTCAGATCGAGTTAACCATGTGCCTTAGAGAAGTTTTAAAATGCATACACTGGAAATGAAAATAGCCACCTCAGTTAGCTCTTACATAAATGTACATGGCTTGACTTCCTCATTAAAAAATCAAATTAAAAACACCCACATCTTACCAATCTAATGTTGGGGGTTCAAAATGTTTTAATTTATGAAAACAACACTGACGATAGAGACTTCTTAAGTTCCTTACATTTTACAGTATTAAAATATTTAATATTTGACTAAAGTCAAATTAAAGATTTACCCCACTTTCAAGTGAAAAAAGGATGCAAAGCTTCACCTGTTGTGGTCTTGACCGACTGATGAGTACTTGTATTCAGCTGGTAGACGGTTCACCTGGAGATACTGGTGCAGACGTGACTTTGCATTAGATAGTGTCCAGTTGCCATGGATACCAGCATTCAGATCTAAGTTTTCAGACTTTATGCGAAAGGAATGAAAATGAATACCTTACATTAGATTATCATGTTTTACCTGTATTAAAAGTACATGTACAGTATATCACAATAAAACATAGCAAGTGGGTGGAAGTTTAACAACCATGTATTTGATAAGTCACATGTACCCAGGAACCCAGATATGTCCCAGACAATGACATACAATACCTGGATGTAAATGAGCATTTTTTTCTCATAGAGCCATATATAACAACTAGAGTGGGAACTTCTCATTCTCCACACAGAGAAACTTTGATGCCATTCTAGGCCAAATATTTTGGCCTAGTTTTCTTCACAAAACACCTCTCAACTTTTCCAAGTCAAAACACTCGTATTTATTTGTTTTCCTAATTACATTCACAATTTTTCAATTATCATCACAAGTTTACTTTGGCACTTGCCGCAAACAGAATGTTGCGGGAGACCACTGTTGATTTTATAAATCACAAATTACAAATGGACTTTGAGCAGGAGAAGAGGAAGAAGCAAACAAAAAGGACAAAAAGTATGTCTTTTTCGCAAAGTTGCAAAAAAAACACCAAATATATACCAGAAAAACACTCTTACCACATGAAGTGTGAAAATGAAGGTAAAACTTTATTCAAGAAGGAAGGATGGATTATCAAATCGACACAGAACTGTTCAGAGAAAATGGAAACTTGACAAATCGAAGATCCCTAGAAAGACACATTTTGAAAAAAGAAGGCCGATCATGGCGATGAGGCCATATTGCACTGTGGGAGGTCAGGGTGCAATTAGTAGGCGCCTGGGAAACTTACATATGTAGTGACTGTTTGGGTAGTTAGAGCGGCATGGACTGCCTCTTATTAACGGGTACTCTAAGGTCGAGTTCAAGCTGCTAGTTCCCGTATGTTCACGAACAGCTCGATTTGTTGTTCATGGGTCGGCTGCTCGATCGCTGGTAGTTAGTGAAAAGCAACATGCAACATGGAATCTTCCATGTAGGCTGCATTATTCGAGAGTTAATGTTTGGATGGGCTGAATTATTTTCTATATAAACAGGAACATTCATTTCTGTGTTACGGAAAATAATTAATGTTAATTTTGCAAAACTTCCCATTGTCTATGGCTCTGGAAGCCATCTCTCTACTTTTTGCAGCTGTTCAAAAATCTAAATCTCACGAGTTTTTCCGTGCGTTCCTGTAAAACCCCGACAAGGAGGTGGTGTGTAATCCTGTTCCGAGAACAGTGTTCTTGAGTCGTGTTCCCGCCGTTCGAGCGCGAGCACAAGAAACCCGTGTCAAGAACAGGCTGCCCGAACTCGACCTAAGTGTTAAAACATAACACTCTACATGTACATTGCAAGGATCGTGCATTGCACTACATCCCAGAAAAATGCCATTTAATTGTTTTCCCTGTAGGACTTGCCTACTGTTACACAACACAAAATAAATACATGTAGTTATCTCCCTTTTTCTTTCACTTGTCCAATTTGCCCAAAAAATACAAGTGCAAGTACCTTCTTTTCTTCAACCTTCGACTGCCATTTTTTGTTTTCCACAAATACAAAAAGGGCAATGCATAACAGCATGGTATACAAGTGCACACCAATGGTGTGAACCAAGTCTAGCAATCCTGGCCAAATGATGTTGGGCTCCTACCCCTGTGCCCCCCTCAACGTTGGGTCTCAATGTGCGGTCTGTGCTTCAGCTCAACATGACAACATTGACCAGGGAGAATAGGGAACCTATGGAAGGTATGGCTATTACCAGATATTCCAAAAATTTTGACCAGGAGTGTAGTCAAGGTCACTAACTACCCTCGGACATGTACAATAAGCAGCTCAGTTTGTCGTTGATGAATGGCTATTCAACTGAGAGATGCACGTTTATGTAAGAATTCCTCAAATTGTACAGCAATTCATGATTTCAGATTGCACCATGATTTTCGAATCAGGACGACCTCTTATCTGTCTTACCTCTTCAATGTTCCTCTTCTCCCCTCTCCTATCAAAGAAATTCCGCTGGTAGGATGGCAGTCCACTATCCCTTTGATCTTCCTGTCCAATATTGGGACCACCTTTTTCATTTAGAAAGTTACAAAAGTATACTGCAAATCATCTCAAATGTGCCTAAACATGTACATTTGAAGCAAGATATGGGACAGAGAACATCCCCCCCACACACATACCTTTGTGTTGGTCATTGTTTGTTGAAATCCCAGGAATGTTTTTAGGGGGAATGTTTAGGTAACAATTGTCTAGAGTGTGTCTAGGGATTGGACATGTAGGGGGGTACCCCTCTGACCCGTATCTTGCTGGGTATATTAAAATGTATTTGTTAATGCACGTGTACCATTATTTGTTTGTCAAAGCACACCAGCAAGAAGTGCAGAACCGGTATTACTGTAATTGCAATTAGGTAATATATACCCTCTTTAAGGGTCTTGAAATTTTGCGAGAAGTGAATGTGTACTCTACAAGTGATTTGTATTAAGAATCACCATGGTCGCTTATTAAAACTCACCCTTCCAAGGCATATACCCAGCAAGAAATGGGACAGAGGAGTAGGCTTTGACTTTTCATTAAAAGGCTCTATCAGTGATGTCAATATGCACGCACGCTTTGCACTTGATAAACTCTAAATGCACAAAAATTTGAACCTTTCCTGTACTTTGGGATGTGTACAATACATGTTCACATGCCTTGACCAACATGTACAGTATTTGTGATTACTTGATAAAATCGGCCTACAGTTCAATATCAATTGAACGTGTTTACAATTAAGGTTCAGTTTTATTTCCATGTATGACTGGCAATGCATAAAATAGTCAAATATTTGATCAAATTCTACATAACTCTATATCAAAACACACCATATATGTATACAAATGGGACATTCCATATCAGATCAACAAAACTGTTCACCTTATGGCTTCCAAACAAAACCCCAAATATATCAACACCTCACTGGACTGAATCCCTACCATGTCACACTTAATCATTCCATCTCACTAAATCCCCAATCATCCTAAGAATTCACCTTCCCACCCAGCCATATTACAGACAACATACCCACATCCCCAAAATATCCACCAAATACCCCTTTTAGGCTCAGACTGGGTTCTCATGGGGCTAGGTGGTTTCTAAATGCAAACAATTTACAATATATTGCACCATTAAAAGATTGCTATGAAGAAGCCATTTTAAGTTAACAGCTGACAGAAAAATGGCATTTTATTTGAACATTTGGACCAGATGAACAAGACACAACAGACGCAGTTTCCTTAACACACAAAACTGCTTTTTATTAACTGAGATAGCTTCTAACTTTTCTGACTATCGCCAACCATGATTTAAAGCTGCACTATGACAGAGTTGAAAAAACGAAATAAAATTTTTTTACCATATAAACAATGTCTCAAAGTTTCCAGCAATACTTCTTTTGGTTGTTTTTCATAATGGCTTATGATGTTAAATGACTAATAAAAACTGAGAATTTTGTGTCTGCAGATCGTCGTTTTGAGAAAACTTTCTTTGTTGGCGCTACATAAAACAGGGTTCCTGGTTCTCTGTCCGAAACCAACATCAACGCAATATGAATTAAGGGAACCGCGCAAAGTCGTGACGAATGTGGTAGTAGTCTCGCGACCAGCGCTAGTGCTCAGCTCATAGCTCAGTGCACGTACGGGATCGAGTGAAAACGCGGATGAGAATTTATAATTTTTCTACTTCTGCCTACATCTCAGCATGCCCCCAGATTGTGTGATTGGCGGTTGTGCCAGAACATCCTCGAAAGAATCGCAATGTTACGCTTTATCAATTCCCCAAAACAGCCGAGTTTGTCGAAAGTGGGTGCGAGTTGTCTGCACCACTCAGGCGGAGTTTTCGGCAGTACAAGTATGGAATTAACACTTAGAATTGATGACAACTGGCAAGATCGGTCGTCTGGGCTGAAGCAACAATTTGGCCTGAAGACAAGATACATACTCAAGCCGGGAGCAGTACCGAGTTTGAAATTGCCCTCCATAGCCACCGGGATCAGTGCTACCGATCATGCTGATAGGTTTATCAAATCTCAAGTCGCCATCAGGTCTAACATTCCGTCTAATACCATAAACGCCTACAAAGCCAGTCGCGATATTGATGATTTGAACAAGATCGAATACGTCGTTAAACCACCTTACACGGCCAAGAATCGAATGTATGTTAAAATAGATCCCTATGCTTCTCTATTTGACCACCGAAAAAGACCTATTAACTAGTCAAATATCGAAAAATTTACCGATAAGAGATGTGACGCACAATCTTTTATTCACCCAAAAGATGTACACTACGGTACTCACGGTTCAATGTCATGTGGTGCCAGTGTCAGGTATAAAGTATAGGCGGCTATGTTGAAAATTAGAAATGACGGTCTTATTTCAAATAAATCTGTGCTACAAGCATTTAGTGGATTTGATTATAAAGACGAGTTTGAAGATTGAGAAAAAATGAGATTTTTTTTTAAAACCTTATATAAAAATTAGAGATGAAAAAACCAAACAACGTCAATTGTCACTTTTGCAAAAATGTAAAAACGCCTGTTAACGTAATAGACGGCAGTTATTCTAACCGCTGTTCAGACTGTCGCCATATTTATCCGTGCCAGGACTGCAGGCATTGCACACATTACGCAGGATGTACCAATTGTTCTGATTTTGAATCTTGTCAGGAATGGGATAGTTGCTGGAACTGTTATTCTTGTGAAAGTTGTATCGAATGTATCTCTTGTTTTACTTGTACTTATTGTATCAATTGTATGAACCAGAGAGATAAAGATTTTTTAATATTTATAAATGGCATTTATAAAAGACTGAAATTAATTATGCCAAATGACCCCTTACCCGAAATAAAAAACAGACTTAGACAAAGGCAAAAGCTATTCCTAGTAAACGCGTGTACAAGCTGCAAATTGAGTGACCTAAGGTTTTGACAATTTCTTTGTGGAATTTGACTTCGTACGAATTAAAAAAGCTTTTCCTGTTCTGCCGGGGTTAAGGACTCGATGTCTTTGATGGTAAATTCTTTGCCGAGGTATTTCTTTGATTCGCCTGAGGCCACTACTGAACAGAGTCTGTCTTTGATGTTAGGTTTGGGTTCTGCGGTTTTTGTCTGTGAGGATACTCTTGACAGTTTCGTGATTTGGTTGGTCCATTTTGTTATATATGTTTTAAATATAAAGGTTTTAAATTTGTTAAACGTATGTTTAAGTCGTAGGTACTCAATTGTGTAGTACGTTAAATTGATCGCAATACCTAGCTTGGTAACTAGTTGAATCAATTGCAACATTGCTATTCTTTATAACAAAATAAAAATTAGCTAAACTACCCCAGTTTTAAGCAAACCTAAGCCAGTTTTAAGCAAACATTGAACATCTATTCAAGGTAACTACCAAAGCCAATAACTAACCGGTGGCTCTGTGTTCAAAACCAATTTACTAAACTTTACGTCTCTTAAATGATTTTTAATCGAGTCATGTTCTCATTGGAGACTACATCGTTCTTGTCTAAACACTATCAAAACTGTTACGGTCTTTACAATGAAATAAAGCAGTCCACGTCGTATTCTCGCGGTAGTCTTTGAGCACCGAATTGTACTTTTGGCTTAATAACCAACAGCTATGTAAGTAATGTCTACAGCTGAAGGCCATCTTACTCAAAGCACACGTGCTGCTTCCTTTGGATTTTTTACGATATTTGATGAACTGGTCAGCTGTGCAGTCGTCTACGATAAACAAAGTATACACACCGTCAAATAATTTTTGATGAAGTTCAATTGCCTCGTCTAACTCTAGTCGTTCCCGATCTAAGTCGCATAAATAAACGTTGTCGTCTGCATAGACCCACAGCCGCTCCAAATAAGTTTTATTTTCAGACAACGTGGGGCATATAATTACTATCGCTTCAAACGTGAACCGATATTCAGTTTCCAATAAATCAAGCACCCACTTTGTTTTACCTGAGCCAGTTTTACCCATGATCAAAGCGCAGTGTGGACTTTTATACATCTGGTTCATTTTATTTAACATTTTTTAAAATTTAAAATCTACTTAATAAACCAAACTCCATTTCCATCTTCTACCGCCAACTGCGCGTTCATCACCAAAAACACATACATCATCAAAGGCCCTGCAGTTTCAGCCTCGCGTTCCATCTGTATCGATATGTTGCCACCTCCGCCGAGTGGTCTACCCGATCCATCCACAGAATTATCATCAGAGCTCCTAAAATTGAGCCACAAACCATACTTATCTTTTAAATAGTCGGCCATGTCTACTCCGGTTAAGTTTAAGTCTTTGGATACCGCGTGAGCCGATCCAGTGTCCAAGTCACCGAAACACTTGTTGACTTCGTTCCAATGTTGATATTCAAATAGCCCTTGTGAATAAAGTTGATTTGGCTTGCCTTCGACCGTTATGACTGTTTTACTTATGTGCGGATTGTAAAATCTCTGGGGGGTTTTTCACGGCCGGATCTTTGAACAGAATCAAGACGCCTTTTAGACTTTTATTTGTTTGATCAACGCTGATGTTCCATAGTGTATCAGACTTGTTTACCGCTTTTTTTTTCCAAGAGTGAATCCTGTCAAATAGGTAATAGATGGCACCCTTGTGATTGGCCTGCAGGGCTGGGCCAGGTCTCGGTTTGTGAGGACTTCGTATCCTAAGGACATATCAGAGATTGCATATTCTGTGGTAGTGTCTGCCGAGTTAACCACGTTAAAAGTCAACTGATACGTCAAAGGCTCTTTAAACCCCGACGGATAGAAAGGTCCGTGGTCGGTCAACATCGGCATGTCTAATGAAACCTCGTATCGCTTTTAAAAGCATCTGCAATTGCTTTATCTTTAACATTGTTCGCAGCTTCGTTTTTGTCGCCCGCACCTAAACGCAACTTGGACATGTTTTCACGTTCTAGGCCAAAGTACGCCATGTTTTTCGTCTGTGAAATTGGTAGCCAGTTGTCTTTAAAATTGTGAAATACGTCTGCGTCTCTGTAACTGACGATTTTGATTCCCTGTAAGCTGATGTCAATTTCTG